ATATATATTCATACACGCACACACACATATGAATGCTAGGGTGAAATATGATAGGTTGTTGCCATTATTTGGATGTGACTGGTTTCCCAGGGCTTTGTGGGTTGGAATTTTGATTTCTAGAGTGGTGGTGTTGAGAAGTAGTCCAGTCTTTGGGAGGTGGAGCCTCCTGGAGAGTAATTAGATCACTGAGGATGCTGCCCTCAGAAAGGATCAAGGCTAGGCTCATAGAGTGAGTTCTCCCCAAAGCAGGTTGTTATAAAAAAAAGAGCAAGATGGGCCCCTTTCTCCTCTCTCTTCTCTGGCTTCCTGTCTAGCCACATAATCTCCTCTCCATCACTCTGACACTGTTATGCTATGTATCATAAAGTTTTCATCTGAGGACAAATGGATGGGAACACCCAATCTTGGACTTTCAGCCTGCTTGCAAGTTACCTTGAGGCCTGTGCTACAGATTAATGAGATTCTGTCTCATGTTTCTGGAGGGTTAGTCGCATGTTGAAAATTACTATATAGGTAAAAAAAATAGTGAAAGAGTAGATTACAGAAATGAGTAAGATTATAAAAAAGAGTAAGATTAAAGATAAAGAATAACCATATTAGTCAGTTTCCCATTGTTGAGACAAAGATTCCTGACATTCACAAGTTAAAAGACGAGTTTGAGGAGTTTAAGCTGGCTTCATGGTGGGTTGACTCTGAGGTAGAAACATTGTGGTGGATGAAAGCTACTCACCGCTTGGCAGCTTGGAATCAGAGTAAGGGAAGAGTCAGGAAAGAAGGATCCAGGGACCAGACTGAGTTTCCAAGGTCTATCCCCATGACCCACCCAGACACTCCCAGAGGTGTGGTTTACTAAGCTCCTAAGCACCTCTCAAGCTAATCAGGTTGACAGTCAAGATTAACAATCACAGTTACCATAGCAGAACTGATCTTCGAGAAGCTTGGGATTAAGTACCTATTGAAATTTTGACTCCAATAAATCACTGGACTTCACCCAGGAAGATAAAGAACTCTCGGGATCAGTGCAGAGATCTTTCAGGAATTTGTTTCTACCTACTGGAGCATAAAATGAGCTCTCAGATCTCCCAGGTCCTTTAGTAGAGCACCCACTTCTTTAGCTTCAAGCAAAATCTATATTGCTTAAGGCACTGCCCAACTTTTTAATACTCTCAGATAGCATTTTTTTTCTCTTAAGAAATATTTTATTTGATTAGCATAATCACCTAAGTGAATCAACAAAATATAGTTCTTTTTTTTTTCCAGCTTTAATTGAGTTTATTGGTACATTTTAGGGATACAGTACAGTTACATTCATTGTTGGGATCTTGTACCTCTACATGACAAGTCTTGATTCTCATTTTTTCCCCTTACTCCTGCCCTCCCTTCACCCCCTCCTCCTCTCCCCATCTACAAACACTTTATTTTCATCTTTTCATTATCTCACATTTTTTTCTTTTCCCTTTTTACTCTTCCCCTACCCATCCCACCTTCAGATAGCATATTTTAAAAATTAGTTTACTAATTTGTTCACTCTGGGGACAACGACTGAGAAAGCCACAGTGTATCATAGCATGTGGATGGGTTTTGACAAAACCAAAAGTAACCATGAGTTCTTGTCTCTGTGTTTTATGCTGTTATAAAGCAGTACCACATACTGGATAATTTAGAATGAACAAAGTTTATTGGCTCACAGTTCTGAGTATTGGGAAGTCCAAGGCTGAGGGGTTGCATCTGTGCAGGGCTTGATGAGTCATGACACGGTGAAAGGCATCACATGGGAGGAAAAAGAGAGGGAGAAAAGCAGACTCTTCCTTTCATAATGAGCCCACTACCGTAATAATGATATTTATTTATTCATGAGGTTAGTGCCCTAATGACCTAATCATCTATTAAAATTCTCACCTGTCAACACTGTTGCATTAGGGATTAAATTACCAACACATGGACTACAGAGGACAAATTCAAATCAAAGAAATTTTCATTTCAGGAAATTGACTATTTCTATCCCACACATTTTCTAGACTAAAGTCTAATTTTCCCAGTGATACAATTTCAGAAATAAAATCTGTTGTATGTATGTGGAAAAATTTTGTAGGGAGCCAATCAGTCCTCTAATCAATGCACAATTTTTACCTTCAGTATTTATAAAAGGGATGAGTATCTTCATAGGGATATTCATGGTTGACTGATAGATAAAACTAGAATGATGAATTTTCCTCAGAGTTTTCATAGTGTCCACTTCTGCCTGTTCCTAGTCCAACCTTAGATGTTTATGGTGATAACCAATATGGACAGGCAACCTCAGTCTGCTCCAGAACAAGAACCCAGATTGGTAGAACAACAGGAATACCCTCCCTGTTATCACTCATTTCCTACCAGAGGTCAAATTCAGTTTATTGTTCAACAAATATATACCAGGTGCCGTGCTAAGACAGTGCCTAAGGAGCACTAGAAGTCTTAGTGTTCAGTATGATAGTTCTATAAAATGACCATAAACTGTCACTTGAGTGGTACGACAAGAGGGTCCAATCTGCCTATTTAGCTCCTCTTCTCTCTGGCAGCTAGGAAAGGACCAGTCCTGTACCTCAACCAACTGTCTGGGACCTATATCCTGTTTTCAGGGAACTTGACAGCTTTTCCTTTGCCCCTCAAACTTTTGAAATAATCTCAGGTGGACAGCTATAAATTAAACCTGGTTCTGCACCTGCAGATATAGCCTTTGAGGTTAGAAGCTTTATGCACAAGTCTGAGTTCTAACCTTTCACTTAGCTCAGACCCAAAATCTTGGATCTTTTTCTGTGAGTCTATTTGCCTGCAATAGTAAGTCTCAGATGAGATGATGAGTGTGAAAGTGTTAGGAAAGCTGCAAGCCTCATGTCAGAATAGTATCATTTTTAGGGGAAATATTGTGTGTGGTGAGGTAGTAGTAAGAGTTCTTTGATTCAGAACGACCTGACTTCTAGTCCTGTCTTTATCATTTATTATCATGTGAATTTGGAGATTCAGTTAACCTTTGAATCTCGGTTTCCATATTTTTATGTGAGAACAACAGTATTGCCTTTATACATCCTAATTACAAGTTTGTCTTCAGAACCAAAGAACTGAGAGATATAAACTTTGTATATATGAATAGCCCTATATAACTTAGTTTATTAATTCAGCATGGAAAGACTGTATATGGACTGTGTAGGACTTTACAAAGTCCATAACTATAACATTTGTTATAATTCAGATCATGCATGTAATATACAGAGATGATCTCCCTCAGTATGCTGTTGTCTAGCAAGGAAGGAACCAGTTATTACCTGGGCTGCACAGGGGCAAACCATACTGGAGTTGGAGCAACTCATGACTTCATAACTACTTGGCCAATAGAATGGTTAAGTCTAGCATTTCT